ACAAGATAAGATAAGAGCAATAGAATAAGATAAGAACAAGCAAGATGATCTAATCTAATCTGGCGGTGGGTCAGGTTCCTGTTGCTGCCAGCGGCGATGGTACGTCTTTCCGAGGAATGCCTCCATAACAAAAGCTAAGGTAAGAAAAGGAAGCATCAAAGATATCAATGCATTTTCTTGCTGGAGAATCTAAAGAGAACATTCAAGCTGAATAATTTGAAGTGCTAATAGTTCCAAGCACCGTTATGTGAAAAAACAACTCTGAAGAAATAGATATGGGAATTTATCCAAAAAGAAAGAGAAATAGATATGGGAGAACCTAATTTTAAATAGAAAGATAGCATCATATTCCAAGCATTATTGATTTCTTTAAATCCCCTTCTCTAAGGCTATGTTTTTGAATCCATGACCTTGCAAGTTTATTGAGATTTGTTATAGAGGTACACTTTTATCTCTTGGTGGTGTAGTGCCTGGCTCATGCCTTTTGACTAGTTAATGCCTTCTGCCTTGATAAGGCACTGTGGTGGCAAGCATGAGGCTCCAGATAGTGATTTGGTGGTCTAGATGGTTCATTTTCAGCTGAGACAACTATATAGTTGATTCTGCTTCTTGGTTCTTAAAACCAATCTGTAGTGGTCAAGATTCTTCTTTTGTGACTAAAGTATTGTTCATTCATCCTTATTTGTTACTATGTGCCTTTTACAGCTTATATTTATTTTATGCTGTTGACCTCTTATATATTGTTAGGATGAATTCCAACACTTGTAACTCTGCTGCGCAACAGAAGAGTATCACTGATACTGTAGGCAGAAAAAGGCAAGTATCTCATTCTGCTTCATATAATCAGTTCTGTGAATGCTATAATGAACTTTTTATTTAATCTTTGGTGAATGAACTCAACAGTTCCTTGCATTCTGTTCACAGGGATAATGATCTTCACCGGTTGCTTTTTTTGCCAAATGGACTTCCAGATGGTGTAGAGTTGGCCTACTATTCCAAAGGACAGGTGTTTAATTACTAAATTTTATGTTGCTGACTGGTTTTCAGTGTGAACTATTTGTATTTAATACACACAAGGCTGAGATGTCCTTTTTTTGCAGAGATTGCTTGATGGCTATAAGCAGGGAAATGGTATAGTGTGTAGTTGCTGCAACAATGAGGTAAGATTGTTGTCATGTTATTGATCTCATCCAAGAACTTAAAAGAAAATTTTCACACTGTGTTGTTGTGTGGACTGTGGACAGATCAGTCCCTCACAGTTTGAAGCTCATGCTGGATGGGCAACCAGGCGTCAACCGTGAGTAGCCTTTGACATACTCTTGTCTGTGTTCAACCATTTTAATTGATAAACACTCCTCCTGCTAACATTTTTATGCATTTACAGCTATCGTCACATCTATACATCTAACGGACTTTCACTTCACGATTTATCCATGTCATTAGCAAACGGACAAAATATTGCTACTGGTGACAGTGATGATATATGCACAGTATGTGGAGATGGAGGGGAATTGATCCTTTGTGATGGATGTCCTCGGGCTTTTCATACAGGTATGTATTTTATGTCACCATGATTTTGATTCATTGCATTTGACATGGTATGCTTGAATTATTTCTTTTTTGGTATGGTTTGAACATCATCTGTTTGATGCTTGTATTGAAGAGAAGAAAAGAACATACGAGTTCTGTGACCAAAGAAATCTATTATTGTACAAGCCACTCAAGCAGAAGTTAGAAAAAGGAGATTACATTAAAGATATCCATCCTTGATGTTTATGGAAGGTTTCATTGAAGAGTAAACACAAGTTACAAGATGCACCTTAGTTTAACATTAGGCCCAAGGGGGAATGCAGCATTAATTGAAGCTTGTGATCTCACATTGGTCTATTAGTTATATAATGTGGGTGAGTTTCTCCCATTCAGATCCTAGGTGGGTTGGCTATAGGCTTATTGCCACCTCTTACTACCATCCTTTCTTCTTCGAGGCCTTCAACAAGATGTCTGAAAATAAACTATTAAAATTTGCTTCTTGATATATTTTATGTAACTATTGTCAACAAGATGTCCCGAGGATTTCCTCTATTTCTATGTGTTTTGTGTTTTAATTGTTGATCTAACTTGTTTATCGGTTTGTTTCCTCCTATTTGATATTTTTGTGACAGTGCCTACATATTGCATTATGTAATATGCCCTTTTGCTTTGGTAATCTTTGGATGCTTCCCTTGGTGAAGATGCTTTGTTAGACTGTATCTCACTTGATTGTGGGTTCCATTTATTTTATAATTTTGTATCCTTTGTTATCTTGTCATTCTTTTTTCTGGTTGCAGCATGTTTGGAATTACAGTGCATACCAGAGGGTGATTGGCACTGTCCATATTGTAAAGATAAATTTGGGCCTGGTAGAAAGACAGGTTGTGGTGAATCCTCAAGTGCTGCACGGCCCATTACCATAAGGTTGACACGAGTTGTTAAAGCACCAGCAGCTGAAATTGGTGGTTGTGTTGTTTGCAGGTAGGCTTCCATGGAACATCAGGTCATTTGGTTACTTCTATTATGTTTTGGATAATATCATTTTATTGGGTTATCAGCCTTAGCAAGAACTCCTCAGATGGATGTTTCCAATCCGTCATCATGATATATTGTTTAGGGTAATCCTGCATAAGCTAAAATTATTGAGTTGAGCCTTTACTGTCTGGGATTGGCACAACAAATTGATACATTACTGCAAAGGTTTTAATATTTACCTATTGTTCTTACTGTTTGTTCACCTTGTTTTAGTTTTAACTAATCTTCTATCTTTGACACATTAATATTTAGGGCCCACGATTTCAGTGTGTCAAAGTTTGGTGAGCGAACTGTTATTCTTTGTGACCAAGTAAGGTTCTTGCTACCTATTTCTTATTTTCTATATTATGATTTATCTCTTATTTCTTATTTTTATTTGGTTGTTCCTGTCCTTATTCCTGGACCTCCTTTTCAGTGTGAGAAGGAGTACCATGTTGGTTGTTTAAGGGCCAGTGGATTATGCGATCTTAAGGTAAGGCTAGAAATTTTATAATATATTAACCAGTTAATTCCCATTAAATTAACTTTTGTTAATTTCTTCATCACAGGAACTACCTAAGGGGAAGTGGTTTTGTTGTGAGGATTGCAGTAGGATCCATTCTACACTACAGAATTTGCTACTCAGTGGAACTGTGATGATTCCACCATCAGTATCGAGCATAATAAACAAGAAGCTTGTAGAAAAAGGCCTAACAAATGAAGCTCACAATGATGTGCAATGGCAACTTCTAAGTGGGAAAATGGACTCTTCAGACCATCGCCCATTGCTTTCCAAGGCTGCTGCAATCTTTCGTGTAAGTCCTATGCCGTACAAAGTGGATTTTCATATCATTTGATCCAGTCATCTCAGTGCCTTCTAAGTTACAAGCAGATACATTTAAAGAGTCAAATCTCCAGTTATTAAGAATCTGGAATCATTTTGGGAGTGTTTATTTGGTACGGGTTGCTTTTCTACTTTAGAATATTACCTATTGAGTAATATGTTACAAGTTACAACTTACAAGAAGCCCTTTTGTTCTGAATTGAAAGGAACATTAGCGCTTGGTTTGAAAACACCCCTATGCTCACTTAAAGGCTCCATTGGAGGGAATTTTGTTAAGAAAGACATCGACTTTCCCAAATCTCTCTCTCCCCCCTCTCTCTGTTTCTCTCTCATTCAGCTACTACTTTCTTCCAAAAAAAGGATGATTTTTGGGAAGATTTAAATGAGATACCAACGTTTCCATAAGCCTTTGCAATTCATGGAAACAATATTTGGTTGGGTTATTACCTTGTATTAGCCAAAGATGTAGGTTGGCACAATGAAACTTCGTGTGTCAGGTGTCTTATCCATCCCAGCCAGAAGTCCAGGCCATAAGTTTCCAGGCTTGGACCTAGGTTTTGTGTCCTAGATTTAGGCCCAGCACACAATATAATAGCTGCTAAGCCCGGTCTGGCCTGGCCTGGCCCATCATCAACCCCAGTTGCATGACTAACTGGCACTGCACAACGACAACCTCTATCATATAATTTCTATCACTTTCTCTTTTTCTTTATAATCTGAGGTTCTCTCCTCTGTAACTGAGAGGTAATTAATAGTGACAATATCTGCAATCACTGGGAGAGTTACTCCCTCCAAATCAAAATGTGTTGGCTATATGGACTGGTCTCTCCCCACAGTAAATTTATCGAGTTACATTTTTGTGGGTGTAGCATGGGCAACGTTGGTTAATAAAGATTGGGGGAGTCTTCAAGAATCAGGAACAACTAAAGACATTTTCATATCATGATGTTTTCTTAGGGTCTGTTTTATTTGTGAGAAAAGGGTGGGAAAAATGGAATGTTCCTAAAATATTCCACTTTCCCATGTTTGCTTTGTGAGACGCATGGAAATCGGATGTGAAAATGGGGTATGCACTTTCTCGGATGTGAAAATGGGTTAATAAAAGGAAAGAATATTGGGCTTGCCTGTTGAAGAGTTTGTTGTCTTCTCTGCTTCCTCCACCCAATAGCAACTTCAAGCTTCTGGTGACTTTTTCAGAGAGAGATGATTGTCTCCTCATGACTTTTTCAGTTGTTGATAGTTCCTTTTAATTTTTGAGCTCCCAACCCAAATAGACACCTGGTGCAACCACCACGATCTGTGGCTGCCATGGTTTCTGACGAGCATGGCTGCCCTCTCCGGTGGTCATCTATGTACATTTTAACATCCACATTGTTCTGCAACATCATCTCTCTCTCTCTCTCTCTCTCTCTCTCTCTTCTCGTCTGGGTTTATTTGATTTCTATTTTTGCAGGTCCCAGAGTCTCCATCATTTGCAACCTATTAAGAGGTTAATGCATATTATAAAAATTTGAAACCATTGTGTGCATTTAGAGATGGATTTGATAGTGTTTGATTTCATTTGACCATTTTACTTCAATTAAATAACCTGTTTTTTCTCAAAAAACAGAGCTCCTTTCTTCTCTTTATCTATCTCTTACTCTGTGTTCTCTCCTCCGTCTCCTACTTGGATATTACTTACTGTTATGGTACTTCTATTAGCTAATTGATGATTCTCATGAAATGTTTCCAAACACCATTATATTCCTTGTATTAAAATGGTGATTTTCAGAAATTATTTACAAATGCACTCAACTCATTCCGACGATTTATTATTTTCAGAATTTTATTCAACAGTATAACAAATGGATGCCCTTCAATTGTAACAAATATGATGTTATTTCAAATCCCAGAAACCTATAAATAAAGCCCAGCATAGGCAAGCCAGTAGTGTTCAAGCCCACCTTTAAATCTCCTCTAAATTTGGAGAACTGCAGTCATCCACCCTAAGTTCAACAAAATTCCCCTGTCAAACACCTTTGTTTGGAACAATCTCATCCAAACCCATCTCACCATTAGTGATCCAACATCTAATTTGGAGCCTGTGGGTGCACTTGAAATCACTACAGGAAGGAAAATAGAATTCATGAATCATGATATTGTAGGGATTAGGGAAAAGTGGGTTAAAGTGCCTTTCGGAAATGCCATCTCATGGATAACAATGGTTCGTTGGTATGTGAAAAATGGTTGATTCAATGACGATTTGAAACTTTTTAGACAGATGATTGATTTTGGAGCTAAATAGTTTTATTTTCATCTCAGATTTATGTGACATGTTCCAACATGTTTTGTCTCAATAATCTTCCCACAAACGAAATGATGGAAAGTGAAAATTCCATCCTTTTTCATCCCATCCCATCCTTTCTCATCCCACCCAAATCTTTCTTCCTACAAACCAAACAGAGCCTTGGAGATAATCAGCCATGGGAACTTTATGAGGGCAGAACTGTTAGCACTGTTGAAGATTGGGACCGGGAAGTTCTCTTAAACTAACGAATTCAAATTCAGTCCTCACAAAACCATCTACACCATCCTCTGAGTCCTCTGTAGCCGTGCATTGGGAACATCTCCGTACTTGTATCTTTTTATTCAAAGGGAGATATTCCCAATGCACGGCTGGAAGGGGCTGAGGATGGTTTTGTGCAGACTAAATCTGATTCCAACTGTAAGAGTAGAAGTGTAGAACAAGATTTTAAAGTGGTGGTGGGTTCAATGGGAAAGATTGAGGTGACCAGGATCACGGGAAAGATTAAGGTGATGCTTAAGTGGGTTCAATGGTCAGCAAACAGTTTAGCTGATAAAAAAATGTAAGCAAACAGTTCAGCTGATGCTTTGGCATACAAAGAGTGAAGGAGACCAATGATACCAGAGAAATATTTCCCCCCAAAACTGTCAAAATGTAAAGGGATTTGGTCTAGGTGTCTGCCATCAGCCTAAAACATAACAAGGGTGCTAGGGGCCTCCCCTACACTTATGTTATTGTATATAATTTTTTCTTATAATCTGTAAAGTTAGACTATTACTGATCTAAAATAGGTTATGCCTGCGACTTCCAAGTATTCATTTCAAGTCAAAATTTGTATGAATGCAAATGACTCATGGGAATCAAACCTCATAAATGCTTGCTATGAAACTTTGGGCTTCCTATGATTTGGCATTCTATAAAATCTACTAGGGAATGGTTTGAAGAATTATCTATGCATTGCTGGAAGATATATAAGTTCTCCAATCCCTGTTTGTCATTCTCCTAGGTTGATACTGTACACTGGGTCTCTGGGTCAGGTATACATCAGGCTGAACTCTGTTGGATGAGGTCCTAATGGGCCTTTGGAGTCATGTCTTTTTTTTGTATTGTATCTAACACTTGACTTTTTGGCTGATGCTGTAACTTGGTAACTTATAGCATAAGCTGCACTATTCCATGCTAGTATGATGTTCCAATACACAAGTGAGGCAACAAGGAAAGCGGTATATGTTTTATTGGGAGATAGATTCAGTTAAAGGTATTGTCAAAGTGAAGTGTGCCAATAATTGTACATTTGAATATGTTAGAAAATGCTAAATGAAAATTTGACCTGAAAGCCTTGCATGTGTTTGGTTTCAACTTTCAAATTTCGTCTTCCGTCTTTTTTTTTTTTTGTGGTGTAAAACTGTGATTTGATTTAATATTATTCTCTTGGTTACTTAAGCATTATGGTTTCTGTCATTTTACAGGAATGCTTTGATCCTATAGTTTTGTTCGGTCGCGATCTAGTACCTGCTATGGTTTATGGGTAAGTTTCTAGTGTTCTGTTTTTTTACTTAAACGGCTGTTTCTTCAAGGTTGTGGTTTTACATGCTGTATAAGATTTATTACATTTTCATGGATTAATACATCAAACTATAAATCAAAATCAACAACTTGTTAAGATCAAATTTATTATATGGTTTAGAGATACCAGTGAACTCATCATCATCATCAAAGCTTTCTCCAACTATATGATGTTGTTAGAAATATAATTGGCCTATTGGACATGTTTGCTTTTGCTTGGGGATTATATAACAGCTATATGCAGCTGTTCAGGTGTTTGTTTAGAACCTTAGATTCTTATCTGAGTTTCCAACGGCTTCCGCACATTTGTCATTGGTTATGTATTGGCCCAAGATGTGTCTCTTTAGTGTTGCTGCCAGGGAGCTTGATAAAATGTTTGTCAGGTTCTACTGGTTTCATGCCAGTCAGAATTTTGTTTTATTTGTTTGGAAATTGGTTGGTTGTATAGGAGTGTTTGTATGGATGGTGCCTTCTTGTTAGTCCTTATTTGTACCATTGTAGATGGGTAGTTGCATTGAATGATGGTTGGAATTCTCCGTGCTCTACCAGTGTCGTTTAATGTTGTCTTCTCGATGGCCAACTTTGACTTGGGGCCCATTTGGGTGGGCTGAAGCTTTGGTTGAGCTTCTTTGGAGAAGCTACCAAAAAAAGTTTCAATGGAAAGCTGTTCTTTTTGCTGAAGGACAGAAAATTTGAGCTTTCTGGAGTTTTCACCAAACATTGCTTATAGGCTGTCCAGGTGAGGCCTACCTTGCAATGCTAAAAGCCAAATCCAGTTGCTTAGAGCATATGGTTATTGCTTCGTCTAGTGATTTATTAAACTATCCTGTTGCTGTTTCAGTTGGCAGGCTTTCTGGTTGCCGACTCCAGTTAGCATGGTCTCTTCTGCTATTCTTTTTCCAGTATATTGTATTGCATATTTGCCTTGACATTTGGCTTCGCGAACTAGGGGTTATTGCTTGGTGTGGTGGTAAAATATTTGGCTGACAAAAGTGAGAATGTGCATCCAAGTAATCAAGTCTGAGAACAGGCCAAATGTCAGGCCTGCATTCATTCCACCCCTCTCAAGACTCTAGATTGCTGGGACCAAAATTGGGTAATGGGCTTTATTTGGCTTTGTGGACTCAAGTTGGCTTACCCATCTTGAGTGATAGATTGCCTCACTATATGGTTGTATTTAGGTTTTCTTTAGGTGATACCTAGGCATTAAGACACCCACGGAGTGTTGCCTCACTATAGAACCTAGCTATTTTGTACATGGTTTTATAATTTTATTTTCTGTTCTTTATTTTTTGAGGTCATAATAACAAAATATACATTATTATGCTAAACTATCCATTTTATGGGTTTATACATTAGTTACTTTTTCTTATTTTCTTATTTCTTATTTGTTGGTATATGCTTCTTGAACCCTTGAAGATCTCAAACAACAAGCAAAGGAAGACTTTAAAAGTTTGTCCAATCAATCCATTCTTTCCCTAGGACAAACAAAGGGGGTTCAACTCTTATATTTTTCTGAATTTTCTTTTCTTCTTTTCATTCTCATGAATATATTGACTTTCTATGCTTTAATATGAAGTTTATAGTTTAGGAAGATTATTGATAACTATTAGTGAAAGGTAGTTGCTGGTTGCTATGGAACCTAGGAGCAGAGTTTTTTTTTTTTGATGATTATATGGAGCAGAGTGTTGGTCAGTCAAAAAAAAGTTGTCTAAAAAATGAGGGTGGCAGAATTGCATATGCTGAGATGGATGAATGGGATGGGATCAGAAATGAAGTCATTCAATGGAATCTAGGATTATCTCCAATAGGTGATAAAATGAGAGATTATACTAAGATGGTTTAGTCACATGCATATATAACCTTTGACTGCACCTATAAGAAGTGATCTGTTGCAAGTTGAAAAGGTAAGACCAAAAATGACATGGTTGAAGTATTAGGAAATGATTTAGGCACTAAGAGTTTACAATGGATATGCCATTGAACAAACAGAATGATGAAACAGGATTCATGTAGCCGACCCCATATAGTTTGGATAGGGCCTGGATGATGATGATACAGTTGCATGTAAGGTTAGTAGAGAACCACGACATTTTAACCATTGGAATTACCAAAAACGTTTCAGCATAGTTATGTGTTTTTGACAAGTTCAATTGGTTTCTCAAAAGAAAAGAAATTCATAGATGTTTTTCACGACACTTTATTCATGATCTTCTTGTAAAGAGCTTAGTGATAAAATCCCAATGAAGTATTTTAAGTTTTTTAGAGGGATTTACGATGCATTTTCTCCAGCTTAGTAATGATTCATTTCCTAGAAAATATCTTAGCACTATGTTCCTAATAAATTTGCTAGCAAGTTTAGCTTTGCAGTTATGCTTGTATATCCATAGAGTGGAACACATGTGCTTATCCATTTGTGCATGCAAGATAGAATGTTGACAAAGATGTGGTAGAGCATCATTATTTTTGACACATTTCTGCAACCATGGGCATTGGAGCATTAGCATCACAGTCAGATGTAGGAGTACTAGTATCCATCCAACTATATCTGTTTATGGGAGATACAGCTGTTCTTGCTTGTGCCTGTATTTTCCATTCACATTAATTCTACAACACCCCCTTCCATTTCTTCCACTTCTGCAGCTGTGCACAAGTTTTACAAAATTTTCCTTGTTGGTTAATATTTTGCAGGAGAAATTTAGCTGGCCAAGAATTTGGGGGAATGTATTGTGTTGTTCTGTCTGTAAAGTAAGTTTCCTTGAAATAAAAGTTTGTTCATCTTTGTTGTCTTTTTTGTTTCAGTCTTACTCTCATGTTCCAGTCTCACGTTATGAATGCTTTATACTCGATTTTCTATGCTGCAGTTCTGTTGTTGTATCAGCTGGAATTTTAAGAATTTTTGGCCAGGAGGTTGCAGAACTTCCTTTGGTAGCTACAAGTAGACAAAATCAAGGAAAGGTATAAATGTGGTTTTGGAGTTTTCCCCTTTTCTATTTTCCCACTTGACAGATGTCTTCCCCTTGTATTCATTAAGCGAGCTTGTTGAAGTATGCTGCTTGCTTCTTAACTCAGACAAAGCCCTCAATTTTGAGCATTCATACTTTCGAGGTGCCTAGAGGGACCTGGCAACTATGTCACTAATGAATTGGTTGATATAGACAATGTAGTCATCTGGATAACTAAACATCATAGCCCAACCACAAACAAAGACATGATGGTTCTATTCAAAGAATTATAAGCAAATTGTTCGCGAAATGTAGTAACCAGGAAGCCCTAAATCTTTCTTCATCAGTTCTGAAGAAAATATCAAATTCCTAATATAGAGAAAGTTGTTCTCTATTACCCTAAGGGGGTGTTCGTTTTTTGGATTTTGAGAGGGGGGAAGTTGGTCAATGAGATTCACATTGACCAAGAAATCTATGTTCTTTTTTCAGATTTATGTGGGGACCAGGGAAAGTTTATTTTCCTGGGCAATCTTCTAGGTTACTTTCCCACCTGGGGGAAAGTTGCCAACATTTGGATGGGACAAAAATGCCCTTTTTAATAATGCATTTTTATGGCTAAAATGGTCATTGGATTATATATCTGGGAAATAAAAGAACATGGGTAACTTGTCAAAAAGTGAACGGAGCCCAAGTGGTTCTTGCAATTTGTAACAATGTCCTGTTTTAAGTTTGAGGTTGGCCCATTGTTTTTGATTGGTTGACTTAAGTATGTAGTTATGAAATATAAAAATGAATTACAACTACATGACTATTTTGCGAGAAGTTTCTTAGTTTTTGCAGGTTATCTGGATATTTGTGTTGAGCTGTAATGTTTTGGTTCCTATGTCCAAATCAGTGCAATGAACTCATCTTCACGGTTGTGATAGCAAGGACGATATTTATGTGCTCTTGTTCTTGCAGGGTTATTTTCAAGCATTGTTTTCATGCATTGAGCGGTTATTATGTTCCTTGAAAGTGGAAAATCTTGTTCTCCCTGCTGCCGAGGAAGCCGAATCAATCTGGATGAATAAATTGGGCTTTAGGAAGATGACAGAGGAACGAGTAAGTGCATTATTTCTGTAATTTTAAACTGATTACTTTATGTACGAGTGTATGACATTATCTGTTCTGTTATTATTTTCTTTTAGTAACTAGCTATGGTAACACGTTTTGAACAGCTGATGAAGTATACGAAGAATCTACCGCTGATGGGTTTCCAAGGAACTTCAATGCTAGAGAAGGCAGTGTCCCAAATAATAGACTAGCAGTCTCTTTGTAGCAACAACTAGATTGTATGTTATTTTTTTAAATTTTTTGTATTTTTGCTGCCATTTTGTTCCACGGGCAGCCAGATTTATTGATGTTGGTTCCGTGTAAAGATGGATGGATGCACTCGTGCACAATGCATGAGCCTGGTAATAGGCCAATATTGACGCATGCAGAGCGTAACCCTGTTGGTCTATTAATGCATTATTTGTTTGTTTAAATGGGAGATTTAATTTGTTGTTTCCCTTGTCCCACGTTTTTAGCGGGTCTTGTTGTTTCCCTTGTTCCAAGTTCCAACGCTTACACTTTCCAAAATTCTTAACCTGTATGCGATGTTGAATGTGCAAAGTATTCTTGTTTTTTCCGCTCCACGTTTTTCTTGAATCGGATTTAATCCTCGTAGAATCTTTCAATCACTCGCAGACATGCATTGGGAAAATTCAGCGCTGTTTCCAAATGCATGGCGACCAAATTTGATTTCGTTTTTCCCACACTGATGTGTAGGCACCCAGCAAGGACACTGGACAACATTTCATCTCCAACAACGTATCAACGACGTCATCAGCACTGTTTATCAGCCACTCTTAGCGTCGATGGAACAGCTTCCCGTATCTCTTTGATATGTTCCAAGGTTTTTACAGATGCTATCTAAATCTAATTGCCATATGGTGTACGTGTACCACCATATGAATGAATATGATATTCTCACATGTGGTAAGACATTGAATAGCATATTTGAATTATTATATTTGAGAGATATTTTTGTGTTAAAAAAATATTATATGAAATTTCTTAATTTATATTATCTTTTTTAATTGTATCTCACCCAATGAAGTTTTATTGAACAATAGAGAGTATCATATAACAAATGTTTGCTGACGACACGATTCTGTTTTGTGAAGGCGGTAATGTGAGTTTTATAAGGAATTTGAAGTCGGTGATACAACTGTTTGAGCAAATGTCTAATTTGAAGGTTAACCTTGGGAAAAGTTGTGTTGTGGGGGTAAATTTGGAGGAGGGAGAGTGCTAAAGTGCTGGGGTGTGAAGTCTCGAGGTGGCCTTTGAACTACTTAGGGTTGCCTTTAAGTGATAATCCCATGAGAGAGCTTTTGGAACCAGGTGGTGGAAAGGTTTGAAAAAAGACTGGTTTCATGGAAAAAGAATTACCTCTCTCTTAGTGGGAGAATTACACTTATTAAGGCCACGCTTGCTAATTTACCTATCTTTTTTCTTGTCGGTGTTTAAATTCCTAGTGAAGGTTGCTAATAGATTGGAGAAGATAATGAGAAATTTCTTGTGGGAACCGAGAGAGGAAAAGAGGGATCATAGAGTTAGCTGCGAGATAGTTTATAGGAGTAAGACCTATGGTGGTTTGGGACTTGAGAATATTAGGAGAAGAAATATGAATCTGTAGGGAAAGTGGTTGTGGAGATTCCCTTTGGAGAAGGAGAAGCTATGGGCTAGAATAGTGGCAAGTATACATGGGCTGGAGCATAATGGATGAGACGCCTGAATCAGAGCTAGGACCACAAACAATTCTCCTTGGAAAGCCATTCATGACCTGCTACCAGTTTTCTTCCCTAATATCAGGTATGATTTGAATTTCGATAACTCCATAAATTTTTTGGAACAAACCTAGGTGGGGAGTGCTCCTCTAAAGGATCAGTTTCCTTCTTTGTATGCTCTTTCTAATTTGAAAAATGAGTCAATCTCGTCTTTCACCACCCCGTCCTCTTCCACTTCTGGGATTGGGTGGAACTTGGGTCTAAGAAGGGATTTGAGGGACTCAGAGTTTGATAATATTTTGAGCCTTTTAGCACTTCTTGATAACGTTGTCTTAGACCCCACTAGGGTGGATTCTAGAATTTGGACACCTACCCCCAACGACATATTTTCTTGTGCTTCTTTCTTCAAAGTCTTAAGTCAGTCCACCAGTCCTACCTTCCCCCCTTTTCCTATTGATGAGGTTTGGTACAGAGCAATACCTCCTAGGGTTGGTAGTTTTTGTTGGGAATACTATCTGGAAAGAATCAACACTAGTGATATACTCCAAAAGAAGAGACCCAATACTTGTCTGTCACCTCAATGGTGTTTTTTTTGTAAAGCGGATGGGGAGACTGGTTTTCACCTACTGGTGTCTTGCCATTTTAAGATGTCAATTTGGGAATGGGCTTTGTCCCTATTTGGATGTAGCTGGAATCCCCCATCAGACTTGTAGGGCCTTTTTTTCCCTTCTTTTTTCAGGGGGCGGATAAAAAGGGGAAGGACAATGTGGAGAGGACTAAGGGCTGCAGCATGTTGGACACTTTGGGAAGAAAGAAACTCCAGGATATTCTCAGAAGCTCAGGGAGGAGCAGCAAATCTAAGGGCTTTCATTCATATTAGGGCGGTACAATGGCTGAAATCTTTGGAGTTTTCCACAGATTACATTGTGGATGACATGTTGAGGGAGTGGGGTGAAATTTCAAGTTACACACAGACCAAGTTAGTTATGAGTGTGGCTTGGACCCCTCCACCTGGTGGATTCATGAAACTAAACTTTGATGGGTGTAGCAGGGGAAATCCGGGACAATCGGGGATTGGGGTGTTTTTAGGGATGAAAATGGGATCATTTCTGCCATGTTCTCAGGTCCAATTGGAGTGGGTAACTCCCTTAGAGCTGAGATCTTTGCAGTTATGGAAGGAGTCCATAAAGCTATGGAGTTGAATATCAGGAGACTCTTAATTGAAGGGGATTCAGAGGTGGTGATAGGGTGGCTTTTTAAAGATCACAAGGGCTTATGGAAGTACAATAATGAGAGGAGGAAATTCAAGTGACTGGTGCGGGAGATGGAAGTTAAGATATATTGTGTTAAAATATCGGCTAACTCCCTAACTGACAGTTTAGCTAAACAAGGGGCAGAAAGGGACTCACTGTTTTGGGCTAAGCTGTAATTATAGTGTGTTTTCTTTCTTTATTTTTTTCCTTTTCTTGAGGTTCTTTGTTGCTCTTGGAAGATAAGCGTGTTTGTATTCATATTGTAAGTATTCTATTAATGAGTTAATGAAAGTGTTATTGATAAAAAAAAATGGGGTGTATGCCTCCTGGGTGCAAATACAAATTATGTTCATTACACTCTTTGCAAATAGAGTTTTATAGTCAAAAGGCATTGAAGGAATGCGGTTTTGCTCTACCTCACCTCAAGGTTAAAACTAAGAGCCATCATTTACAATCCGGCCTAGCCCACTTCGAAACTTCTGTGGACTTGGGCCTTTGTTTGTTGTTCAGGCACAGCCTAGGCCTAAGCCAGCTTGTACATATATACATATATACTTTATATATTTATCTGTATATGTTATTTTATATTTTACATATAAAATATTAAAATATTGTAATATTTTTTTGAAAGCCATAATATGACATGTGAAGCTTATAATACATATTTTATTATATATTAGGGTTCAACTATATACCGGAAAGGCATCATATCTGTAGAACTTGTAACCAATCAACCAATATTATAAACATATTAACAATCAGATGATATTTATCAAAATTCAGGGGTGAGCTTTGATTGATCAAAGTTCTTCTGGTACCATGCCTTTTCAGCATCATAGATTTTTCCTATATTTTATTATATAATATATAAAATAAATTGTATACACATTATATGAAATAAATTCATGGGCTTTGATTTATTTGGTACCATGTCCTTTGGGCATCATAGATTTTTCAAAATTTCTTAAAGTACCCCTAAGGCTTAGGAAATTGACCATCCACCAAGGTTCAAAATATTGATACGCCCTATACACCGATAGGGGCGTATCGGGCGAATCGATACACATTTTCAAGCCCTTTTTTATTTTTATTTTTTTGCAACCGGTTCAGGGGGGTCGATTTAGGTCTCCGCTACCCCCCTAAACCGGTCAGACCTCTGATACACCCACTATAGAGGTGTATCGGAGGGTCCCAAAATGATACGTATTGGCAGATACGATGCTTTGAACCTTGCCATCTACTATTGGAAAAATAATTGTTATCTAATTTTCTTTGTAAACCATTTAAACATTGACAAAAAATCAACGGTCCCAACTCCTTGTCTCTTCTATCTTGGCACTGTTAATTTTTTGTCAGCGTTTGAATGGTTTATAAAGAAAATTAAATGACATGCCAAGGACATTAATATATTCCAGTAATGAATTGTGGCATTTTAAAAGTTGAGGACCAAAATGACATTAGACAAAGTAGAAGGTACTAATTCATAATTTTCCCCAAGTAAAAACAGTGTCTCAGTCCAAAGCACTTCAACTTGATAAATCAACCCTACCAAATACAACCTTGTCGACTGTCGACCACCTCATCGCCTCGCCAGTTCTTCAAGTGCTAAAATTCGGAACTCGGGAACTGCTGTGCTGGCTGCTGGGAGTCCTCACTCTCTACATTTTGGAGTTCGTGTGGTCTCTTGTCCAATAAGGAGAGTTGGAGCGGCTTCGGCCTCGGGGCTTAGGGTTTTTATCAATATTCGTCGAGTCTTAAAGTCTCAAACTTGACTGATTCAATTTACCCAAAGAAAACAAATATAACTTACAAGTGTTTCTTTCTTCTCTATATCGAATCTCATTTTCGTTGTGGTTCCTTATCTAATGGCGTTTGTCTCTGCTTTCCGACGCGCTCTTAGTGGATCTTCGACGCCTTCGTCTCTCCTTCAGTGGCGATTGGCTTCGATCCGTCTAAACTCTACGCTTACGACACCGAAACTCTTCATCAGCGGTACGTTTGGAAATTAGATGGCCTTTCTCATTTTTCCCTGATAAATAAATTGGACTTTTTATTTTACTCTTTCTTCGTACTTTACTATGGATTGGTTTCATAAAACTTCTTAAAGAACCCTTCTCGCGGTAGGCTGGTATCTGTTTTTTTCTGAGCTTTAATTGTGATTCTAAAAATAAATCATTTTTCTTTTATGACGAACTAAGCTCGCTGGGATGTATATTGTGCTTTCACTTATTCTTCATTCATGGTGGCCTTATTTTGACCTGTTTGTTCACCTTTTATGGAGATTTTCTACTTGCTTGTTTTAATTTTAAAGCCAGAGCTTGGTAGAATTCAATTAATATTATTTTTATTCGTAAAAGTTCAATTAAAACTTTTGTAATATAAGCACTGTGATGTTAGAGCAATGGAAGGTGAATTCCATTTCTTCTTCCTTTTTGCATATAGAAGATTCATGAAGAAAAAGGAGAGAATGGTCCAGAGTTGGTATTTGATGGATGTTTAGAGTCTGGGTAACAGACATGTCGTGCTTTTAGGGTTCGGTATCCAATTCTATGAGGAATTATCACCACAAAATGAACAGGGGAAATTTCCGCTCATGGATGTTAAAGTCAATAGTGTTGTTTTTGGTTGCATGTAAACGAGAGGAAGACAAACTTGAGTGGTAATTGGGTGTTTAAAGTTAGTAGGAAATGAGTAGTTTTCCTGGTAATTGGATTAACTTTGGAAGACAAACTTGAATGGTTAAGTGCCTACTTGTATCATCAATCATGAAATTTTAATCAAGAAAACTTGTTCTCTTTTTGGAATTTATGCAAGATTAGAGGAAATGTTGTCTTCTGATAATTATAGTTGCAACCTTTTTTTTTGGATTTTTTTGTTCATATAGCGATCAACCTGCAAATAAACACTGTAAAATAACATTTTACATGAAAAATATTTATTTTCCTTCATTATACATGCAACCAAATGAAGCCTAAGGGACGCTGATATCATAACGGTTGAAGTGGCTGAATTGAATGATTTATTGCTTTGTCTTTTAACAGATAAAATTATTAAATAATAAAACATTCAAAGGTATAACCAATCTAACTCCAACATCTGCCATTTAGGAGTTCACAACACTGAAAGATAAAGGAATATGACATTCAGTTCAGCCACTTAAGATGTTATTGAACAGCCCCTAATGTTTTTTTCCTAAAATTATGGTTGGCAAATGAAAATTACACTTATGGCCTGGCTGCTTCATATTGCATACCACCCTTATTTGTGCATTTTTCTTTCTCCCATGCTTTCCATTGGTCAACAACCAACCACAGATCTCGTTTGTGCATCCTAATCTATTCATCGGAATATACTGGATGAGAGATATATGGCATGCCTCCTGATCCTAATGCCTCCTCTGTGACAGGTCTTTCGAGATTAACTACAGATGAAAAACTGAAAGAGGCATTTTCTCCTTTTGGCCATCTTCTTGAAGGTATATAGCTTCTTCTTGGACTTTTCAGTATATTATATCATATTCTGATGTAGACATGCAACTTTGCAGCAAAAGTTATAGCGGATAGAGTATCAGGAAGGTCAAAAGGCTTTGGTTTTGTAACATATGCAACCATAGAAGATGCAGAGAAGGCTCGCGAAGGGATGAATGCCAAGTTCTTGGATGGATGGGTTATTTTTGTTGATCCGGCAAAGCCCAGGGAGCCAAGACCACCACCTCAGCCAGAACCAGAACCTTCAGAAACTGGCTTCAGGACAAATAAAACAGTTGGATGGTGTGGGTAATCATTCAGAAATAGTTAATCCTTACGTTTTAGAGACTACTTAGATTATTTAGTTGGAAATACCTGCGAGTTTTGTTTGTGAACCCTTCTATATACTCATTTTTGGCTTAAGTTTAATGTTTTGGTGAATTGTTTTTGTTTTTCTGAGCATTTCCTGTAGTTGTATTTCAACTTATTTAGCTCTCTACCAACAAAGCAAACATGCAACTGATATCGGGGTGTTGAGGAGGTTCTGACCCAGCAGGTGATCACGAAGAAAATTTCAACGGAAAGGAATAAACCAACTCATTGAACCTGAATTTTGGGCAGGATTTTTTTTTTTATAAGAAATATTTACATGAGTATAAATGTTTGAGTTATAGTAGATATATACTTGAGATTTACATGCAAAAAAAGCATGAAGGTGAGTAAGGTGTTTGTGTTGTTTTTTTATATGTACAAAATGCATAGACTGGAATGGGGCAATTAATCTCTTCAGATGATTCCATTGAAGCTGTTCTAGTGTAGTAGGTAGGCATCATTCCTTTAGTAATGAGATCTAGTAGCTTGTCGGCATCTGAACATACCAGGAGGTGCGATATATTAGTAGAAGCAGCTGCGTCAATATCATAGATTAGGGCTCTTAATTCTGCATCATAGGGTCCATTAGCCCAGCATGGTCTTTCTTGTGCTTTATTAATGCTATTGTTATTAGGACATTTGATGAGAAAAGCTTGCGGGTCACAAGAGCCATTAATAAACAATTTTGCATGATTTGACAGTTCAGGTCTGGAAATGACAGTTAATAAAACAATGTTGCATGGTTAGTGGTGTAGCCTGAACAAATGGTGTAATGTAACTTGCTGCCTTTGAAATGATGTCAGAAAGGTGTGGCTGAACCTTGTCAAAAATCTATTTGTTTTTAGCTTGCCAAATGAGATACATGAGGGCGCAAATTTTCCCTGAAGGTAATTTCCTACTGGCTGAACCGACCCTGTAGACTGTAGTGAGGATAGACAATTACTTGATAGATGAAGTGGTTGTGGCGATAGATAATTACTTAACGATATCAGATTGCTCTAGCAAAATAACATTTAAAGAAGATGTGAAAAAAGGACCATTGATGATGATGGCACAGGGAGACTGCTGATTATTAATGATGGAAGCCATGGGTCATTGAACACAGATGCTGGATCCGTCCTTGATTAACCAAACGATATCAGATTGCAAGTTTGCAACTCCTTCAAAATGTGATAAGCTTGCTTCCACCAATGAGAGCTTTTCCTTATGAGTTTGGCTGAAATGTACTGCCATTAGGAAAGTAGTTTAACCTTGATAGTTGAGACCATAGATTGTTTCGGAAGTAAAGAACCTCCAGATCTGTCCAACCAAATAAAACTTTGTTCATGGGTGCAAATGTGCAATTAGAGTCTTTATTTTAGAGTTGGTATCCTTCGGTAAAATTCAGTGGCCATACAAAAATTGGGAATCGCTTGCAGCCTTGCACCACTGAATTTACTAGTGTTGTTTTTACTTCTTCCTGCTTGGGGTTGAAGATAAAACCTTTTTTCAGATTGAATTAGGAAAATATGGGAATCCTACGTGCATTAACAATTGCGTGTGTTTTGTAGCAGATATTTCGTTGTTTATTTTACTGCACAACAGGTTAAAATATTTTGAATTAGTAAAAATTCAGTTATATGCGTGGCCGTCACTTGGGATGAAGCTCATTTCTCTTCCTGAATGAGGACATCAATAGAGATAGATGAGAGACGGAGATGCTGGTGGTAGATGAGGGATGGATCAATGAGCTGACCGGGGAGACTGGATATCCACCTTTACACATTCAGGATGGTGGTGTCCATTCCTGTACAAGGACACCAAAACAGACATAGCTAGAAATCCCAGTCGTTTGAGCTGACAAATGGGTTTTTATTTTTTAAGCCGAAACGCTCATGACAAATGGTGTCCATCCCTTTAGCCGTTCAACAAGATCGGACCATAAGAAGAAACTCAGAAAGTACGACATACAGACATTCACACTGAATGCCCGTGAGGCAAACTATAGGGAAGGGAAATTATGTTTATGTAGCCTCCGCAACCGAGATAATGCTGCTTGGCCAATGACGTCCTCAGGAAGCTACTGCCGCACTTGGATTCCTGACCAGTGACCGCCAAGTCCACAAGTTCGACACTCGACTGACAAAAACCGCCTAAGAGCAACCTTTCACCAACCGGCGGCTTGCAATGCGTGTCCGTGACAACTTTTCGATATTGTTTCTTCTCACCATCGCTACCTCGGGAAGATTTGCCCTTGTGTTTGTGCTTGCCTTTTCCATTTTTCTTATTCCCTCTGGAATGATGGTGGATGTGGCTCTTCACGGTGGTGCGCGACAGGGACGTAGCAGGTGGATCAAACACATCAGAAGCCCATGTCACATTCAACTTCTTCAAAGCTATACCCTGCTTTTCACGGCTACCTTTCATTGCAGACACAAGCTTCAAAGATGTCTGAGAGAGCTAGGCATATAAACAAGGAAAGGTAGAAACTGTTAACAACATATCAAAGTAACTATAAAACCTCAGGGCTAATGACCTCCCACTTGGGAATTGGGAGCAAAGTTTGGCGGTCTGTTCCAAAATAGCCAAGAACTGCATGGATATCATGGGTGGTTTTCACCCAGTCAATTTTTCACATAAGAACTAGGAAGCCAAACCAACCAGTTTTTCAAGGCGCCCTGTATAAAATTTAACTTGATAGTGTCAGACAATCCGGCATCAACATAATCCAGGTAATGAGATACCTCCATATGGTCATTATTATGAACTTTTGGGTCAATAATATAAAATTGAAATTAGGAACCACTTCTTGTAGCAATGGTAAAATTACTCGCCAAGTGACAACTGATGAGTGGAAGGTAGCAGGTTGGAATCTGAGAGCAGCCATTGTGTGTAAAACATACCGAAGGCTAGGTAATGCCCAGTAATTTACCCCAAAAAAAGGTTCATACCCAGTCCACCCCTCCCAAGGCCCGGAACAACATTGCATAATAATGTTCCTTCTATAAAATATGAAATCCAGTTCATATAAAGGTCACAGAACCTTTTTATTAATAAATCTTTCCCCAACTTTCAATACTGTGTGTGTGTATTCTAATGCGGCTTTGGTCCCCAAGGGTGAGATGCATACACTAAACCTACTCGGTAGGTTAGAAGGGTTAGTGACGGGATGCACATGGCACCAGTAGCGTAACATGAAGAGCCTGCCAATCCACGGGCAGGTTTGAACCCATGCCACCTACCAAGGGATACTGTGCAACCAATACCAATTCAACAACGGGTCATTGGTGAAGACATGGTTCCTGCTAATCAAAGCTCAGTATATTTAAGTTCAACATCAGTTGTCATAGTGGTGTGGAGGGTAGAATAGAAAACAACGTTTTTTTTATGTAAAGGTAAGGTAACCATTTAAACTATTAATTTTCATGAATGCTTTATTTTGGAAAGATACCAGCACTTATGAAGTGAACCACATCCAGAATAAATGAAATAAAACTGATAAACATAAACAATCAGGATTCAGGAGTTATCTTTTAACCTTGAGGAGGAACTTCAACATACAGACTAATAATAAACAAACTTACAGGCAGAGATAATGAGCGAGTGCAGGCTGGATTCCAAGGTTCAGTATGGCCATGCAATGTTGCACCAGTTATCTCCTCTCTCCCATCCATATATGCAGAACATGTTATTCCAGAACATGGAAATGTCATACTTTTTGTCAAGCCTTTCTGAGTAGTTGAAACCAATGAATTAGGCTGATGAATTTTCAACTCCCCCGACATTTTGTCATCTGATTGGTATATCTCATCCCCACCTGAAGGTGGAAAACAGCCTGATACCAATTCTTGATCATCATGAATATCTAAGACCTCATTAAGTGCACTTTCAAGTTCTACTACTGAACTATCTCCCATTCGATTACAGTGCCACTGGTTAAGACTTGACCGTCCGTTGATAATACCAGGTGCTACAGAGATAGCACTGCCAAAATACTCATATTAGGAAAACAAAAATCCATGCAATTCACTGATAAATAGTTAAGCTCCAACAATAATTATTATTTACCCCCACCATAATGCACCTGACTCAATAACTTTGACATGGTAAAATCCAGCTGAGAAGTTTATCAACATGCACAAGCAAAAAAATTCTAAAAATTATATATATATATATATAAACTTTATACCATAGACAACTAAAAGAGAAATTACCCATGAAAGACTATTTTACACCATAGCCACAAAGCATCATGATCACATGGTTAAAAGAGTCTCTATACTGCAAAGAGACTTGCACAAGAAGATTAGATACAAGTATGCAATAAACTGGATAAGAATTCCACTGAATGGCAAATACCACGGTAAAGCAGTTAAAAGAACACCAGATGCATGCTGAAAAGAAAACAGAGTGTCTGTTTATACAACAGAAAAATTAGACCGCTGCACACTAACTGCAAAAGGTATTGCAGCCATACAGAGAACATTAATTTGGGAGCAACCTTACAAAAAACCATGTACCTTCCTTGGACCGACAATAAGTTGCATAATAGTTTCATGCCTCAAATGCTCAAGGGGCAGATTAGATGCAACCCTTTCACCTTGGTGCCATTGTTATGTAAGATTATCTCCATCTGTTCACAGCATGAGATAGACAATTTTTTTTCTTTTTCCCCCAATGTGTATAAATTAAGAAATCCTTAACCAGTTGAGGCCACTAGTTTCCCAACCCTTATTACCTAGAAAGTATCCATTAACCAAGGCAGGTGGCACATACAAGTCAATCTCACAAATATCAACTAATAGATGAATATTACCAAACCACTAACATATATAGACCAGTAGCATACATAATGGCACATATCTCAGATTGTTTTGTTATAAATTAAATATATTATTTAGTTATATACAACAATAAGATATGATAAGCATGTTATTCCTAAGAACCCATGGGCAATAATGTGCACAAGTTTTGAAGATAATGTCTCTGCATTGTTCTTAAAGCTTGTTCTTTTTTATGACTGAATCTTCTGATAAGGTGTATGGTCATAAAGTATTGGGAAATATGCATGACTTTTTTTGGCAATAAACAAAAAAGAAAAAATCATTATGAAAGAAAGAAGAATTATTTATCAAAAAAAAAAAGAAACAAGGATACAAAGAGGATAAGATATCACCCATGTAAAAAAATTATAACCCCTTCAATCTACCTCACACCCCAACAAGACAACAATGAACACAGTGACAAAAACCCCTATAACTGAAATAGAAAAAGAAAAACACACACTAACAACACCCCATGATAGATCATATCACACTACAAACATTGCCACAAGGCCCACAACACTCACATCACTGAACTCCCCCCCCCCCAATCAACATAAATCAACAGCAACTTCAGGGGCATCACTACAGAGACTCCCACTAAAATCTTCTAAAATTTGCTTGAAATTTTTACTGCTTCAGACTCTAGACAAGGAATAACTTAACTCGTCAACTTCCCTTTCTTTGCTTTCCTCACCTTCCTACTAGGTCCGACACTAAATAATCTCATTTTCATCTCAGGTAGATATTTGAAACCTGAATGTGTAAATATTCCTTTTTACTTCTGAAGCTTCTAACAGCATTGGGCAACTTAGCTATCCTTTGAATTGGCATTGATTCTCTCTAACTCTAATGCACTGCATTCTTCTTGAAAATATGGACAGAAGCTGTCTCTCCAATCCGACTATTATCAGTCCCTGCAACTCCAACTGAACTCACATTACCTTGATCCTTCTCCCCTTTAGTTCACTTCATCAGTACATTCCCGACCATTCTCAATCATGAGCATCCTAAATTTATCTTCCAATTCTTTAAAGGTTTTCTTGCAAATTCCTGTCATCTAATAAAACCCAGAGCTTTGCTTACCTCTACCTCTGCATTTACAATCACATCTAAGTCAATTGATCTTTGAATTTCATGAGTTTCGTCTACTGCCACTTTATTCATCACTTGAGTCACAGTTCTCAGACAACAACACTTCCAATCTTTCCCTGCAAAGGTCTCGCTCTATATTACCTTTTCCTTTTAAACACCCTCACACCTGAGCCTGTTGGGCTATTCTCCCTTGTTTCCCTCTTCCTGATTTCAACTAATTCATTCTTTCCCTTCTTATCACTTCCTCCTCCACCCTCACCTATCTCATAAACTTCTGCTATGCCTTCAACACCATCCCCTTCTCTTTGTGTTTGATAAGTATTGTCCCCCTCTCTTTCAGGTGTTTGCTTCTCGCCAATCTCCCTATTCCCTTCAACATACTTATTTCCTTCAATGACAATTCCATCTTCCACTGGCTTATCTCTGAAATGGTTGATTGCTCCCTGCAATTCTTCCCAACTGTTAACAATTATCTCAGCTTTATCATTGAACTCCAGATTGAATTAGTAATACTTACTATACTACTATTCAGAGTTGAATTTGAATTAGTAATTGTAGTTAGATTAATAATGCACAAAAAATATGTTTAAATCACCAATGTAACAAACAAAAATTGTATTAGTTCAACAGTAAGCTCATTGACAAAGCCAAAATTTGATTTCCAGACAACCCGTACTGTAAGATTATTGAGCTCACAAACTAAAATTGATGAAGGACCCACAAGGCCTAATTAAAAAGGATGATCATAAGTTATTTGGGCTGCTCTACTGCTTGAAAATAAATGGGATCAGGGGCAGGTCCTAATAATATATAAAATCTTAAAGAAAGAAAAAGAAAAAAAAAAGTCAATAAAAGAAAGATTTTGTCCTCTTCTTTTTTGGGTGTAGGGTATTTTTTTTATCAGCATTCTGGGTGTAGGGTATTTTTTTTATCAGCATTTTGGGTGTAGGATATTATCAAGGCAAATATTTTCATCATCATAGTTTTTTTTTTCCTTTTTCTTTTACTCCAGAAAAGATTGTACAAAACCGGATTGTGTTATCTAAAATTCTAAACTACCATACAAATTTGAGATATGGGACTCCTAACAAATGTTTCTGTATGGATTCTTTTCATATGTGACAATTTCTTTCTTCTTTAATCTCTATGTATTTTTGGTGCCAAAACAACTTTTGATTCAAGTAGTTTTCTATTCTTGGTGAAGAGAACTAGTTCATCCTAAACACAAAGAGCAACTTTTTACTCGTGTAACTTTCTACCCTGGGTGAAGAGAAATATCCAAAGCAATTTCCCCCCTCTGAACGTGTGTCACGTTGATGATTCACTACCACACTACTGAAAACAGAATAATTTTGCAATTACATACCACCGTTTATAATTCATCCTAAACACGACAGGATCGAGCAGAAATTACGGCATTTATTTTACGGAATTATAACGAAAAGCAAAGATAAGCCCAATAATATTAAACACGGTTCTATTAAAATCAAGAAAATTAGGATGCATTTTAAATTCACAGAGTAACGTAACAATTAGCTTATTTATCAAAAAAAACGTAACAATTAGCTTAAATGACAACAGAAAAAAAAAAAAAAAAAAAAACTTTTACCTCTAGATTTGAAAGAAAAGAGGTCTCTTCTATAACGAAAGCCAGAAGCACCACGATCCACGACCTTAGAAAAATGACTGAATCCACTCAAACTGCAATTTAACAAGTATTGCCAACTCCCTTGGAGGATTATACTGGTTCAACCGGTTTAAAGAAGAAACGGAGTGAGATTATTCAATAACCGGTTTATAGTATGATCTATAATTCCTTTGTCTCGTTCAGACGGTAAGAAAAGAGGAAGAGGATAATGTGATAGCCGTTCTTATCCAAACGTTAACTGAAATTAACACGACGGTTCCATTTTTCAAACTGTTTCAGACGATGTGAACATGGACCACCATGAAAAGAGGTCACCGAAGGAATCATCTCTTCACGCCGGTGGAAGAACTCTCCGAGCACCGAAGGCATGGTCGATGCTCTTTGAAGCGCTTGACTGAAAGATCTAAAAGACTAACCAAAACGAGCAGTTGCAAAAGAATAGACAAAATCGGATCAACCCAGGATATTGACAAACCTCTCCGATCAATTTAATGAAAACAAGAACAATCGCATCCCCCTTAAAAATCAGCCCATTTAGAGATCGATCTTTTAAATTCAGAGGAGGAAACGTGTTGCGAAAATCCCACAGCGTCTATTCCGATCGACATGGAAGGAGATAAAAGAGTGGATATTACTTATTCGCGGGCACCGAAGGACGGAGAAATGACGCGACTTTTATGTGTACAGACGGGCTTATCGGCTTGGGTAGAAATCAGATTTGATCTCACAAGACCGTGCTCACACCGGTTTACCGAGAAAAGCCTAATGGCCCCAATCCAATACGCACACGTGTCTATTAATACAGTAAATCATGCTTTGTCGTACCTTTCATCGAAGTCAAGTCTACTTTTATTTATCCTTTGGCCTTTCGCTATTGTGGCCTCGTGGGGCTCTCAAGTGTCAACGCCTCAGTAATGGACATCCAGACCCACTCTGTGATCCGAACCCGATTATTTCATACTAGTAATGGTTGGCCGTTCAGATCCGATTGTTTGATCGATGCCGTTTTCTGATAGGCGTAGGGATGAGCAAGAAAATTTGAAAAATTGGAACCGAACCCAAAAATCAATCGAAATTGAACCAAAAATTTGGTTAGTTGAATCAATGGTTTAGTTTCGGTTTGGTATTTTTAAAAAATCAAAGATATTAATTCGATTTTAGTTAGTTAATATAAAAAATAGGTGATTAACCAAACTCACTGGTATATATATTTTTTATATATTTTATATATATTTATGAATATTATATATTTTTTATATATTCTAAATTAATAAAAATGTATTGTATATAAATATATATTTATAATATATAATTTATTATTTATTATTTAAATATGATATTTTTATAAGAAAAATTCCACTTTTAATACCCTAAACTTTAAAGATAATGTAAAGTACTAACTTGGTAACTAAACTTTCAAATGTAATGTGTCACTTCAATACTTCAAACTTTCAAAAAAATATAAAGGTGGTCACTTAAAATAAGACACTATTGGGCCAGGCTTCGTGCATGAATGTCATATGAACTCTCAATTGACGAAATTGGGGAAGATTTTCGACTCTCTTTCTCCCTTGAGGTTATTACTCACTCCCCATATTTAACATACTAAATAGCAATGCGTCGTGGTTGCATAAAAAACTCTGCAACAACCAATGCAAATTTAACATGTCATTGGTTAGTAATGGAGGTGTAGAAGGCTAGCACTAACGGTCATTATTTTATTTTATTATTTTTACTATATTTTGAAAAACCTATTAGTCTTTTTTCGATGCTTCCTCTCTGCCCCCTTTCTTTCTCTCACCCTTCCTTTTGCTCAAGATTTCACATTGTCTACTCAGCACTCCTTTCTCTTGGCTTCCCTATTCCACATTGACCACGGATGATGATTGTGCCACTAGACACTGACCTCCGGCAATGGTTACTCCTTCTCTCTCTCTCTCTCTCTCTCTCAATTTTATTGTTTCCTCTTCTTCCCTCTTCCTTCGAATCGGCAACATGTTAAAATGTTGACTTCTAATGATTTTGAACCCTAAAACCCTAGCTATTGTTTATTGTTTCCGGTGTTAATTATTTGATGCAATAATTAAGGGATCAATATTTTTGCTTTTTTTCTAACATTTTTTGCTTCTCCCAATTAAACCATTATATCTAAACCATATCTATTTTTTTGCTTCACTATATGCATACCTGATTTTAGTTGTTCAGTGTTCATCCCAATGGTCTTCCCACTGATGTGTTACATCAAACTCTTATTCCTTCTCATCCCACTCAGTTATAGATATCAATAATATTTCTCTATGACTTTTAAAAGAATTATAATCAAAAAAGTTGGTTGAATGTTGGGGTTTGGGAGGGCTACTTCATCCTAGGGTTTGGGTTGAATGCACCCATCATTAAATTTTGGTATAGTCTAATACTGGTCTTATTATATTTCCTGATTAACAAGACTGTTTATGATATTTATACAAATTTAGAATAGTATTACTATTACTTGTCAAGTGAAATACCTAATCTACCAAACTCCTTAATTATTGACCATTTCATAAATGACCCAAATCTATATACTTCTTAGCTTATCAACTTCTTGGATGACTGTGTGTTGACTTGTTGCAAAGATACTTAAACATGGCCAACCACCTAAACGTTTATTATTCTTTCTTTAGTTTCATACTTATAATATATTATATACTCCTCTAATATCAACTTTAAATTCATTTTTGTTGAATTCTTTGTAGAGGTAGTTGAATTCAATAGAAACAATAATCTTTTATTTGTTTGTTTTCTTATGTTTTTCTTATCTTTTAATTTGTACTTGATTTTGGTATACATAATACAAAGCAATGAATTGATATATATGGAGAGGAATCTCAATACATATTGAAGCATCCTGATTGGTCTGTGCATCCATGCAGCCATGGGATTTTGATCAATACACATGGGAATAAAAGATTATTAAATATCTCCTTTGGGTTGTGTTTGGTCAATACACAACCTTGATGATTGTGTCAAGACGTTGAAGAACGTGTGATATACAAACTAGCTTAGAAAGAATAGCAGATTTTGATTAATTTTTTTGGTACTTTGACCTATAAATTTGAAAACATGATTCCAACAGCATAGATAGGAACTTCAAAATGTGTGTATATCCGGATTTAGCATCTAAATTCCAAGCTGAACCTCTAAAACCCACTTTTCTTTAACAAATGTTTATTCTTGCTGACCATATTAGTTAGCTTCGTTGTTGTTAAATCATATTTGTGTATGTGAGTCTGTGACTATATGGATCATTAGTCATTATAAGTGAAAGATGAAAAGCATTCGGAGATAAGAGCATTTCGATAATGCTTCTAAACAAATCTCTAATTGCTACCATCGAATGCTGTCAATTACGTAATTAATTACTTATTTTATTAATTCGCATAATTATTTTTGTTAAGTAATAATTTGCAATTACTTATTAATGTAAAAATAGCCATTTCTTAAAGGTAGCGGCATTCAGGTACTCGAACAATAACTTTACATTCAGAAATCCAAATAATTAGAAAAGCAAATTTCATGAATAAAGGAACAAAGTAGAGCTGCAAATTGGGCAGGTTGGGGTTGAACATTTGTTAATGGGTGGAACTTAACAAAGGAAGGTAAAAGAAGGGAATATCTCATTTTTCTCATATCCATAGGTTGTTACTTTTCAGCCTTGAGATTGACATCTAATTCATATGCCCCCTTCACTAGTAAATTGCTGCCCATCATGATCATCTAATTGCAAACCTTCATCATCTAATGGGGCCAATTAAATTAATTGGTGGAACTAAATACTCAGTAGTCAAATAGAGTCCCACTTGGTATGTATGGACTTCAACAAAGTCGTTATCCAATTGCAGCTATAAAACAAAGTACACTACATTGTAACCTATTGTTCGTGCTTTGTCCGATGCCCGGTGATTGCAGTAGTGTTGATGATTGCAGCAGTGGCCCAGACGGAGTGCTAGGTTGCCAATTAAGAGGAAGAGGGAAGAAGAGGAAACAAGAAAAAGGGAGAGAGAGAGAGAGAGAGAGAGAGTAATCGTCGCTGGCGGTCGATGTCCGATGGCGCAATCGTTGCCAACGGTCGATGTGGAATGGGGAGGACGAGAGAAAAGAAAGAAGTAATAGACTATTGGTGAGTTTTTCAAAACATAGTAAGAATAATAAAATAAAAAAAGGGGCCATTAATTTCAGCCTTCAACACCTCTCTTACCAACCAATGACGTGTTAAATTTGCATTGGTGCAACCACAATGCAGAGGACGTGACCTCAAGATTAGGCTCGAGAGACCCGAAAAGCAGCACAAGACCAACGGTTGGAATTCTTGCACCACGGAAAACAAAATTCTTGCATCACGGCGAGTGATCGCGCTCATCAGTCGTACGGAAATCCACTCGGTAACGTAAACTTGAAGGAGGAGACAGTGTCACCGGCGAACATGCTCTTCCCCTCCCACGTTTCTGATCAAAATTATGCATCCAAACCCGGGCATGGGACTAAGAGGGTGAACCCGGCGACGGCGCGGCCGATGCAAGATCATGTAATAGCAGAGAGGAGGCGACGAGAGAAGTTCAGCCAACACTTCATAGCTTTCTCAGCAATTGTTCCTGGCCTTAAGAAGGTTCCCAGGCATTGATATTAATTCGTTATGTCAGAGACTAGCTAGGCTTTCTATTCTTAAGAAAACTTATAGCGTTAAGTAACAAAAAATAAAGAATTTGTTTGGAAATTTATAATTTGTGGTTGTAACAACTGGATAAGACTTCTGTCTTTGGAGACGCTATCAAGTATTTGAAACAACTGTAAGAGCGAATGAGGACATTATGAGAAACAATATTTCAGGAATGAAACCCTTGCTTCTTGATCTTTTTATTCACAAAAAACATACACGTATAAATAACATTACAGCCCTAAAAACAAGGACCTTATCAAGCAACTAATCAATCCTAAACAAGAAGGAAAATCAGCAGCCTAAACAAGAAAGTAAATCACTACCTTCCAATCTCCTACCTAAAATAAAAAACTAATACTTACTTGCTATACAAAGCTATTATACAGCTAATATACAGATAACATTCCAATACATTATAAGCACAGGCCGAGAAGAAAACAGAGGAATCGGTTGTGTTGGTTAGAAGAACTCAGATGTTGGTCGAAGATGACAAGTGTTTCTCGTACGAGAACTTTGGCAGATGTTACTATGATGATGACATGCTCCCGAAGATTGACGTGAGAGTCTCGAACAATAACATGATCATAAGAAATCATTGCGAAAAACATAAAGGAGTTGTGGTGAGAGCACTGGGTGAGATGGAATATCTCCACCTGAATGTTTTGAATATCAGCGTCATACCTTTCAGAAATTTGGCTCTTGATATCACCATAGTTGCTCTGGTAAATTTGTCACCAAATCTTCCGATTAGGGGAAGGGTGATCTACTATCCTCTTATTTGTTTGTTTTCTTATTTTTCTTTAATATGAAGTGTTAGACGTAATCGATTGAGGTGTTTGAGATTCTAGACTAATGAAATTATTGTCTTCTACCTTTAGATTTGAAATATATTATTGTCTAGTTATTTCTTTGCTTTCAGTTGTTTTTTTCTCTCTATCATATTTTATGTTTTTTCTCTCTTTTTCTTTGAAGATAACCAGTAAAGGTAGAAGCTAATGA